CCAGTTTGAGAGAAGAATACACACACACACACACACACACACACACACACACACACACACACACACACACACAAAGGGCTTCAGGACTAGCCTTATGATGAAGCGGAGCTGGAGATTTTATTACAGATTTTAAGAAAGAAAAGTGCTCAAAGTGGAGTTAGGGCCTGTTAAGGAGGACAGACCTCAGTCCCCACCTCCTCTGCAGACACCCTGCCCAGAACCTTTAAGCACTGTTTTCATGTCCTTTTCATTTATACCATTTTGGTTTGAGTGTCAAGTATCTCCCGTAGGACCATGTGTTTAAACCCTTTGTCTCTAGCGGGTGGTACTGTGTCTGAAGCTTGCAGAACTTTTGGAAGAAGGAGCCTCACTGCAGGAACTGTCCCACTGGGAAGTGCACCACTGGAGGAAGTGGCCCACTGGGGAGTGCACCAATGGGAAATGCGCCACTGGAGGGAGTGTATGACTGGGAAGTGCAGCATTGCAGGAAATGCACCACTGGGAAATGCGCCACTGGAGGGAGAGGTGCACACTCAGCCTCTTGGCTCCCACTGCTCCAGTTGCAATGGTGGAGCAAATCCTTGTGAGCCTAAACAACCCTCTTTAAGTTGCTTTATGTCACAACAACAAGAAAAATAACACACGTAGAATCACTAGATTTGGGCTTTCTGAGGCAGCCCCTATTCCGGATTCCATGAGGCTGTGGGAATTTCCCATTCTCACCAGTGTATTCCTTTCTCCACACTCTGCAAACCAGGTAATCTTTCATTTCTGTGACAGTCACCATCTTCATAGCTGCTAGGTGACGTTTCTCTGCGTTGTGAGAACTCCTCCCCTGGGGAGATAGAAACAATATCTGATTACTTACAGAGCACAGGTGAGGGGTGACCTAAAGCAGCTGCACTGGAAAATCTCACCCCAGCATAGGTTGTGGTGATAGGTTTATGATTTATTAAAGCCACTGGAGCTCGGGAGGCAGGGGCAGGCGGATCTCTGTGAGTTCGAGACCAGCCTGGTCTACAAGAGCTAGTTCCAGGACACCTCCAAAGCCACAGAGAAACCCTGTCTCAAAAAACAACAAACAAACAAACAAACAAACAAAAGCCACTGGAGATCAAAATATCAAATGTCCAAGCAGCCACACTAGGCAGCTATAGAAGCTAGGCAGTGGTGGCACACACCTTTCATCCCAGGACTCTGGATTAAGAGGTGGACAGATCTCTGTTAGTTCAATGCCACACAGACTGCACCAAATTGATCCAGTCCTAAAAGAAACAGCTCACACAAAGGTGATCTCAGCACCTGGGATCACACGCCTTTAGTCCCAGCACTAGGGAGGTAGAAACAGGAGGATATGGCTGGGAGGAGAAAGGCATAGAAGGAGGAGAAGACAGGAACTGAGAGTCTTTTTGCCTCTGAGGATTCATGGAGACAGGATTGTCTTTTCAGCTGGGTAGAGGTAAAATCTGATGGCTTAGCTGCTTTGCTTCTCTGATCTTCAGCTTGAAGCTTGAACCTCAATATCTGTCTCTGGGTCTTTTATTAATTCGTGATACCATGGCTGTTGGCTTTTCTTCAGCCACTTAGATGGAGACCCCCACCCCCCCGACCTGTATACTCCAGCACCTCCCAAGCCCCAAGAACACATGCAATTATGGCAGAACTGCCTACAAATGGTTGCAAAGAGTAGCTGGAACCTCAGGTGAAGGTCCAGTTAGCCCCTCCCCCTTCTATGAGGGACTATCAACAGTCAGCAGCCCTTAATGATGGATAGTTACAGTCAGGTGGTTTCTGTTTAAGGCTCCCTGGTGGCCAACAATAGGGACCAATATTCTATCTACTTATTGGTTGGCTCATACATACTTGCATACACACCTACATAAATACATGCATGCATACATACATACATATCTTAAAACAAAAGACAGAGAAAAGAGTGGGTGGGCCTTAGCAACCTTTTAAGGTGTAACCTGAGCCATCAGAATGTTGCTTTGAATGGCTGATATTGAGACTGAGTTGTGACCCTCCTTTGTTGAGCCTGTACACGTGGTGTTTCTCACTTTCCAAGTCTGTCTCAGAGGAGCCGCAGCCTCTCTCGGTATGTGCTTATTCTCTCCTTGAGCATCTGTCCTTAAATTTGTAATAAAATCCCCAACTCTGCTTCATCAAAAGGCTAGTCCTGAAACCCTTTGTGTATGTGTGTAGATGCTGTGCTGGCTGCAAGTTAAAGGCATTTAGGAAGAGGGAACCTTACATAAGGAAATTCGCCCACTAGACTGGCCTGAGGGCAAGCCCTGTGATACATTTTCTCGATGCATGATTAATGTGGGAGGGCTCAGCTCCCTGTGGGTGGTCCCAGCCCTGGACTGGTGGTCCTCGGTGCTAGAAGATAGCAGGTTGAGCAAGCCATGGGGAGCAAGCCCGTGAACAGCACGTCTCCACGGGGTCTGAACCTTCTGCCTCCAGGTTCCTGCCTCGAGTTCCTGTTCTGACCTCCCCCTTTCCTCCCTGGATTGCTTTTTTTTTTTTTTTAATTATTTATTATGTATACAACATTCTGCTTCCATGTATATCTGCACACCAGAAGAGGGCACCAGATCTCATAACGGATGGTTGTGAGCCACCATGTGGTTGCTGGGAATTGAACTCAGATCCGCTGGAAGAGCAGTCAGTGCTCTTAACCTCTGAGCCATCTCTCCAGCCCCTGGATGGCTTTTGATTGTTTTATCACAGTGATGTGTATGAAGCGTGTGGGCACGTGTGAAAGTATGTGCGTGTACCTATACATGCTCAGAAGCTGGGGGAGGGGGCTGGAGGGGCACTTTAGCTCCTGCCACTTTGTTCTTCTGAAGTAGGTGTTCTTGGGGAACCTGGAGCTTGACTTCTTCAGTTAGGCTGGGCAGGGAGCAAGTCCCTCATTCCTCCTGTCTCTGCCCCTCTTTGTGTGTGTGTGGGTATGTATGTGGGCGTCTCTGTGTCACAGCATATATGTGATAGTCAGAGGACAATGTTTAGAAATTAGTTCTCTCCTCCCATAGTACGGGCCCTAGGATCGAACTCAGATCATCAGGCTTGGCATAAGCACCCTTACCCACTGAGCCATCTCACTGACTCCAGAAAGTTCCTTCATTTATATGTGAGTAAAAGCATTCCTTGTGGTCTTGGTGACTGTAATATTCTATTGTGTAGCCACTAAGTAACTTGCAAAATCCATTTCTTTATTCAAAGGTTTTGGGGTGGGCATCATCAATTCATTTGCTGAGGTTTTTATTATTATTATTATTATTATTATTATTATTATTATTATTTTATTTTTATTTATTTATTTATTTTGCTCTTAGCCCAGACTAGCCTACAACAGGTTTTTTTTTTTGCCTTCCCTTCCAA